ACCCCTAGGTCAACCACAGAGACTCACAATTCGAAATATGATACGCTCGTTATCCCTGGGAAGTTGAAGACGAGTTTTCATTCGCCTCTTGAAGTTATCTTTGTTATTTGACTTCTAACTTCCCCGACATAACATGCCGTGCGTGATTGTGAAGTTATCATTTAAGAGCTAGTTATTGGCAATAACCCATCAGCACTTTCGGGTAATTGGACAATTTAAAAAAGGTGATTTACGCTCCGCAATTCCTGCCTTGGTAATTCACTTAAACTTTTAACCTCGTAAGTTACAACCAGTTTAATAAAGGGGTATTTATTTCATGGTCTTGTAGTTATATGAAACGAAGATTATATGCATCGGGTAATTGCTTTATTAGCTTGTGACGTTTTCTTTTTTCTTTGTTTTCGTTTCTTGCTATTTGAGTCGGGACATTAGTGTTATGAATTATGATTGCGGATTAACAGGGTGGTCGTTTTATGAGGCTGTTAATTGCTAAAATATATTTGATGTTTGTTTTTCCTGTCTTTTGTTATTTGTTAATTCCATTCGTTTTTATTTTTTTTATTTTTTTTATTTTTTTTTTTTTTTTTTTTTTTTTTTGTTGATTCCATCCGTTTCTATTTTATTCGTCTATTTCTTTTATAAGCGACGTATTTCTTTGTTGATTATCATTTGGTCTGACTCGCAGAACAAATTGGCGAGTTTCAATTATGTAAATTATAAATCGCATGTGGTTAGTGTAGAAAACATGAGTCTCATTTGTTCGTCAACCGTCAAAATGTCAACCAACTTATTTTTTTATTTATTATTTTTTTTTCAATCAGCGAATTTAAAAGACAATGATACTGACTTCATTTACGAAACATTATCGCCAATAAAGGAAATGATAAACTTATGAAGACAGTGATTCTACCTCCATTTACGAAACAGCATCGCCATTTTTTTCTAGAACGACCATCGCCATTACAGACGCTCGCTGTTTCATCACTGGCGGCGCCGCAGTCCCTCGGTTTGCAAATGACAATTATTTTGAGCTGCAGTCGCGGCGTGTGAGGAACGCTTCTATTACGGTTGTTGCACTAAACCGTTATTGTTGCATAATCTGGGAATGGAGAGAGGCTGGAGGCTGCGGCAGATATGGGGGGAGGGGGAGGGTGTGTTGACTTTGTGTGTTTGTGGTGTTGTGTGTCGTGTGTGTTGTTTGTGTGTGTGTGTGTGTGTGTGTGTAATATATCAGTGTGTGTGTGCATATCATCTATCAATCTATCCGTTATGTTATTCAATCTTTGCAATGAATATATGAATATGGGTATACGTTATATACCTTCACAAACGGCCAAATAACACGACGAAATTCAGAAACCCCCAAAATAACCTCTTGTCCCCCCCCCCCCTTTAGCACCAAACCTCTGCCTTCCTCCCCCCCTTTACTTACCCACCTCCCTCCTCCCTGACTCCTGTCCCTCCACTCCCCTCCCCTAAGAAAGCGTGAGAGAAGCCGAGTTCCTTCTGTCGCACCTCTCCCCTTCCCCTCTGCCCCTCGTCACTCCCTTTCCCTTCTTCCCCCCCCTTCTCCTTTCCTCCCCTCCCTTCCGCTCTCTCTTTCTCCTCTCCATCCTCTTCCTTCTTTCCCTCTTCTCCCCTTCCTCCCCTCCCTCTACCTCTTCTTTATCCTTCTCATCATCTCATCCTCCCTCTCCTTCCCCCTTTCACTCCTCTTTCCTTTTCCTTCTCCCTCCCTTCTCTCCCCCTCCTCTTTCCCCTTCCCCTCTTTCCCCTTTCTCTTCTTTAACTTCCCCTCCTCCTCCCTTTCTTCTCATCTCACTCCTCCCCTCTCCCCTCCTCCCTCCATCAACCCTTTCCCTCTTCCTTGCTGGCCTCCGCCCCCCTTTCCCCCCCCCCCTTTTCCTCCCCGATACTTCCCTTTCTCCCTCTCTCCCTTTCTCCCCCCCTTCCCCTCTCCTTTCCCCTTCCCCTCTTTCCCCCCTTCCCCTTCTCCTCCCTCCCTTTTCCGTCTCCTCTCCTCCACCTCCCTCCCCTCACCTCCACCGAGTGCGGGTTGTTATAACAGCTCGTAAACGTTTGCAAACGATTTTCCCGATCAGCTGTACCGGTCTTCGCCAAGCACACGAGCAGAAAGGGTGCTTGCCTTGCTTGTCTTGCTTGCCGTGCTTGATATTGTTTTTTTTTTCTGTTTGGTTCCTTTCTGTTCTTTTTTGCTAGATTATTTTTTATTTATGTTTTTCTGTTTCTATGTTTCTTTCCATGCTTGATTTGTCTGGATTTCTGTGTGCGTTTGTGTCTGTGCTTTCTTGCTTTCTTATTTCCTTTCCCCTCATTGCCTTCCTTCGTGCTTACTTTGATTTTCCCCCTTTCTTCATTGCTTGATTTTGTGCTTGTTTTGGGGGCTCATTACCTTGTGCTTGCTTCTTTCTTCACTTTTTGCTTCGTTGTTTGTTTTTACTTTTTCACGGCCTTCTCCATTGCTTAATTACTTGGTTGTTTTGGTGAATTATTCTGTTTCCTTCGTTACTTGATTTCGTGCTTGCTTGGACTCTTTTCCCCGTGCTTTAACGTCATTGCTTTTGTTTATTGTTTTGACTTTTCCTAACCCTGCTTTCTCCATTGCTTGATTTGCTTGCATTGACTGTGTTCTTCCCCGCTTTCTTCATTGCTTTTTTTTTTTTATTTGATTTTTATTTTTTTATTTCTCTCGCTTCCTTCACTGCTTGATTTTTTTGATTTATTCTCCCCTGCTTTCTTCATCGCGACATTTCTTGATTACTTTGCTTGCTTTCTGGCCTCGTCGTCTGTTCCCTCGCTGTCTACCTTTCTTGCTTGCTTGCTTGCTTGCCAGGACCACACAGGATTGCTTTATCTGATGAGGTCCTTGGCCCCACCTGCCTGCCAATCCCCATGACTGCGTTTGCCTGCATGACCGCTGACTCTGCTTGCGAGCTTTTTTGCGTGCTTGCGTATGACTGCTTGCCTTCCTGGCTAATTGCTTTTTTTTTGGGGGGGCGAAGTGGTAAGGAGGTAATGGCTTTTCTATCTATCTATCTGTCTATATGTATATATTTTTTTTTATTCGTATTCTTTTTTTTTTTGTTGTTTTTTGTGTTCGTCTCTTTGTAAATTATATATATTTTTTGTTAAGATAAGAAGATGAAAGAATGAAAAAAAATATACATGAAAGATGGAAAAGGAAATGAAGAGAAAAATGGATAAAGAAGAGGTGATTTAACAGAGAAATTGGTAAGAAAGAGAAGAAATTTAATGAAAAATAAGTAGTTTAAAAGAAAAAAATGTACATGAAAGATTGGAAAAGGAAATAAAGAATAAAAAAAAAATAAAAAATAAAAAATAAAAGAAGGATTAGATCAAAAACGTAAAGAAAGAGTAGAGAAAATTCGAATAAAGGAGGAGGAAGGGGAAAAAGGAAAATTATATACTTAAGAAGACGATTGAGAAAGAAAAAGCCTTTTAAAAAGTGAAAGTTGTTTTCATACATTAACTCAATTACATGTCAGTCAATATAATGAGTCTGTTTATAATACATATGCTTCTCTTTTCCTTTTCCTTTTCGTTTCTTTGATTTATTCTTTTGTCTTACGTCTCATTTATCTTTTTTTCTCATTTATGTATATTCTTTTTCTCATTCTTTATCTCTCTCACTCTTATCTCTCGTTTTTAAATCTATTTATACACTCATTTATCTTTTATCACATTCTTTATCTTTCTCTCTTTTTTAAAAATCTATTTATACACACTACACACACTACACACACACTACGTACACACATTCACACTACCACTACACACACACACTACACACACACTACACCACTATACACACACACAACACTGTACACACACACACTACTCATCTATTCAATTATTTTGTCCTGTCATTTTCTTTCACCCTCTCCTTTAGCTGTTTTCCATCTAATTCCCTTTCATAATCACCCAATTAATAACTGGTCTTCATGCTGTCTTCAAACCGTCAATGTTTCCTATAAGAGAAGACGAAATTGACTCATGTATCAAGAAGATTAGAAGGTTATTGACTTGCGTGATTGGTACAGTGTTAATTGCTCTGGTTAATTGTGATGTTGATTTTGTTGTTGTTGATGTAAGTTTTGAGAGAGATTCCTTCCTTTATTTTTTAGGTTTCATTTATTTTATATAGGGAATTTGTGTGGTTGGTGTGATTTGTTTCCGAGACAAAGTTCGATTTTTTTTTTTTTTTAGATTTCATAATTATGTCTTCGTGTGGGATTTTTTTATTTTTTTTTTTCTTCTTTCTTTTTTTTTTTTAGTTTTTCAAATAATCTCAATTTTTTTTTTTTCTTTCTTTTCTTTTTTTTAGCTTTCACAATATATATCGTGGGGAATTTTTTTCATCTTGATTTTTTTTCTTTTCTTTCTTTTTTGTTTGTGGGATTTTTTTTTTATCTAGTTATTTTTTCTTCTTTCTTTGTCCTCTTTTTTTAAAGCTTTCACAAATATATCTCCGTGTGGGAAATTTTTTCTCGACTTTTTTCTTCTTTTCGTTTTTTTTTTTTCTTTTTTTCTTTTTTTCTCTAGATATTTTTTTCTTTCTTCTTTTCCTCTTTTTTTTACTTTCACAATTATATCTTCGTGTGGGATTTTTCATCTTGATTATTTTTCTTTCTTTCTTTTTTTTTTTTTTAGCTTTCACAATTATATCTTCGTGTGGGAAATTTTTCATCTTGATTATTTTCTTTCTTTCTTTTTCCTCTTTTTTTTTTATTTTCACAATTATATCTTCGTGTGGGAATTTTTCATCTTGATTTTTGTTTCTTTCTTCTTTTTTTTTTTTTTTTTTTTTAGCTTTCACAATTATATCTTCGTGTGGGATTTTTTTCACCTTGATTATTTTCTTTCTTTCTTTTTCCTCTTTTTTTTTAGCTTTCACAATTATATCTTCGTGTGGGAAATTTTTCATCTTGATTATTTTCTTTCTCTCCTTTCGTTTTCAGGCTGGAGGCGAAATATCACCCCGACATCAGCTGATTACTTACCTCCTCCGGCATCCAGATCACGTTCCTCATGATTGCTTTTCGTCTGCAACATCCGCTCCGTTGAAGAATTGCAGAAAAATGGTGTGACGGAGAGAGATAAATAGAAAGAGAGAGGAGAGAGGTAGAGAGGAAGAAGAAGAGAGAGAGAGGTAGAGAGGAAGAAGAAGAAGTGGAGAGAGGTAGAGAAGAAGAAGAGAGAGAGAAGGAGAGAGGTAGAGAGGAAGAAGAAGCAAAAAAGGAGAGTGAATATCTCGATAATTACTAGTGTAAAAGAAAGAGAGAAAGAAAGAGAAGGATAGAGGAAAAGAAGAATAGCAAGGAAGAGTGCAAAATAGAGAGAAGGAGAAGGAGAGGAAAGAAATGAGCAAGAGAGTAAGAATCTCGATAATTACCAGTGTAAAATAGAGAGAAGAAGAAAAAGTGAAAGAAAAAAGAGAGAAAAAAAAGAATCTCTTTAATCACTAGTGTAAAAGTTTCCTTTGCCGATCAAGTGGTTTTGCACCTTGTGACGAGTGAAAGAAGGATCTCATTTGCATAGCAACATGAGACATACTATACCATATGCATCTAACGTGTGATATACTTAAGTGGTTTGTGCAAGTGTCTTGTGTTGCAGATTAAAGTGCAATATTAGATCAGTTATTCTAGAAAAAAAAGAAAGAGATAGAAAGGAAGAAAGAAAGAAAGAAAGAAAAAGTAAAGAAAATAGTTCTACATAGAAATAGATACAAAAAAATAAATATATACTTTTTATTTTCAAAAAAAGAGTGCATCAATTCTTGCTTGATTAAGTGGCCGTAAACTGTGATTGCAAATGAACTCGCCTTCAATTAATGAGACCATTGATTAGCGGTTAAATTGCAAGTTTAATGAGTGCATTTATACATGACTGACGATGAGACATATTGCAACAGCAGATGCTTGAGTGATTTAGAATATTAATGGAAGGTTAGTAACACCTCCCCCCCCCTCATTAAAGCTTTCTCATCAATAATGCTAAAATAAGTCACTTTGTGGATTCAACCAATCAGTGAATAAAAAAAGAAAAACAAATCAGTCATTTCGTGATTGATTTCTTCCAATCCATGAATCGCAAACAATATATCTTTCCCTCATCAAAGATCGGTTCCAATCATTCCACGATTCGAAACTAATCGCTCGAATCCGAAATATATATTAAGATAAACAAATGGCACCAAATCCGACCGACCGAAAAACACGTGGAAAATAAACAATGAGTGTGTGACGTCATCGCCAGCTGGAAGAAACAGGCCCTCGAGATGAGTTCGCAAAAGGTCAAAAACAAGAAGGCACAACTCAGGCAGAAACTGGGGTGAGTTGTTTGTGTTTGTTTACTTGTTTTTTTGATTGGTTTTTGTTTAGATTTGATTGTTTGTGTTGTTCATGTGTATGTTGTTTGTGTATTTTGTTCTTCTCTTCTTTTTTTTTTTGAAATTTTGTTTGCGTGAGTTTTTTCTTCTTCTTTTTTGAGGTTTTGTTTGCGTGGGTTTGTGGCTTGTTTGGATTTTGTCTATTTTTTACAGATTTTTTGTTTTGTTTACGGTATATATTTTTGTTTGTTTTTTCGTTTGTTTTTCTTTGTTTAGGTCTGATCATCTTTTTGTTTGTCATCTGTTTGTCTGCGTTAACATTTTTTTCTGTCTGTTTGTCCTTGTTTTTTTTCTTGTTTATTGCTATGTCTGAATTTTGTACACTTGATTATCTCTTGTTTATGTTTTTGCATTTGTTTAGCTTTCTTTGCTTTTGTTTATCTCGCTGTTCAATTAGAGGTTCGTCCTATCTCTTCTTGTTCGAGTTTGTTGCTAAGATGACCAGGGAAACCCATGCAGAGAAACGCGCGCGTGTGTGTGTTTGTGTATGTGTGTGTGTACATGTATGTATGTATGTTTGTATGCATGTATGTGGACATACAAATTTGCACACACACACACACACACACACACACACACACACACACACACACACACACACACACACACACACACACACACACACACACACAACACACACACCACACACACACACACACATACACACACACACACACACACACACACACACACACACACACACACACCACACACACACAACACACACACACACAACACACACACGCACGCACGCACGCACCCTCCCCCCCTGGCGGCGCGAGGGCTTCGCGGCCCCGCACAGGTCGCGACCTGCACCGCGACACTGATTAACAAGTTCGAGATTAGCATGTAAATGTGAGTGTGTCTGACTGCGCGTGCCTTCTGCGGGCGAGTGTGTGCTTGACATTGTGCTTGAATCTGGTGCTGGACGAGTTCTTGCGCGTGTGTGTGAATATGTGTGTTTTTGCGAGATCAGAGTGCGTGTATCTTTTTCTGCATCGTGTGTGTGCAATTGTGTTCTTGTGCTTTTTTTTTTTTTTTTTTTTTTTTTTTGTAAGCGTGCTTCCGTTTTCAAGCATCCATACATGTGCTTGTACGTTCGTGCGTTCGTACATATTCCTACCACCATACATAGGCTTAGATACGTATAAACCTACAGAATCCCCTCCCACCCTGAACTTACATCTCCGTTCATTTCCTCCATGTCCGTTATACAAATACCCTTCCATATACCCCTATATATGCTTGCGTGCGCATGTGCTTGTGCGTGCGTGCGTGGTCAGCTTCCCAACCCATCCTTCCCCCGGGGCCGAGGCAGCTCCGAACGCCCGCAGGTCATCGGCGCGGAATGCAGTCTGGGGCGGCAATGGCGGGCGGCGCGGATCCCGTTTTCTGTGGACGGCGCGGGGTGATGCTGCGAATATTTTTTTTTTCTTTGATTTAGAGAAAAAGAATCGGTTACGGTGTTAATCCCTTTGCGATCGGGTGGTTGGTTGTTCTTGTTTTCTTTCTGTTGTTTCGGTATTTTAATTTTTTTGTGTGTTTCTTATTTATTTGGATGTATATTTCTGTATGTTTTTGTTATCATGATAGTTTTTGTTGTTGTTGTGGAGGGAAAAGTGTCTTGGCTCTTCTTCCAAGCGATGGATATACGAGCAAAAAAGGAGTTTCTGAACGACATTCCTTTGTGTCCTGTTTCCGAACGTTGAGCATCCCCCTCCCCCCCTCACCTCCGCCTCTCCTAGTCCTCCCCCTCCCCTCCCTCTCTCCCTCTCCCTCCCCCCTCTCTCTTCGCCGACATCCTTGATCTCTCTGTCTCTCTATTATTCACTCTCCTTTTTCTCTCTGTTTCTATCTGTTTATCTATTTTTATTGTCTGTGTGTCTGACTCAAGTCTCACTCATGCACTCTTTCTCTTTCTCATTCGCTCTCTCATCTCTCTCTCTCTCTCTCTCTCCTCTCTCTCTCTCTCCCTTCTCTCTCTCGTCTCTCTCTCCTCTCTCTCTCTCTCTCTCGTCTCTCTCTCTCCTCTCTCCACTCTCACACCACAATACCCACACATTCAACATGTTCATCTATATCTCTATCTGCATCTATGTGTGGTGTATGTGTGTGTAATACATATATATATATATATATATATATAATATAATATATATATATATATATTACTATATATATGTATGTATGTATATGTATGTATGTATGTAATATAGTAGCCATAGGTTTGTGGTGTAGGATCCTCGGAACAAGGACTACATTATTCTTAATTGTGCATTTAAAGTCATATTGAATGATGGTCATATTTTGCCTGCTCGATGTACCTGTTGAAATGCCGAATATGTAGGAATGAAAGCCTAATGTTATATGGCAAGTGGATGAGATAGATAGGGAGAAAGAACAATTTAGAGGTAGATTAGAGAGATGGAGGTAGATAGATAGAGTTGGAGGTAGATAGAAAGAGATGGAGGTGGATTGATAGAGCTAGATGTAGAGATAGAGATAACGATAGACAGATAGACAGATAATTAAATGGAGACTGAGAAAGAGCGAGTATGAGAGAGAGAGAGAGAGATAGAGATAGAGAAGAGACGAGAGAGAGGGGAAAATAAGGGAGAGAGAGTGAGAAGACAGACAGACAGACAAACTACAACATATGTTTCTCCGAGCACCTGACGTACAGTTTTTTGTATATGCGGTAACCGAAGACTAACTTTAACCACATTATCCAACTGAGGTACACATCTTGGTAAAAAAAATATGATTGAGTGTATTTGATTATGCGATCATAAACCTTGAACACCAAAGACACAACTTTTACGTACATACCGTAAACACGCACATGCATACACAAGTACCTACATGAAGACAGACAAACACACACTCATGCAAACACAAACTAACATATATAAATTGAAACTCATAACAAAACATACTACATAGAATAATTTTTATTGTTTTTAAAAGTTTATATGGCGACCTTAATTTTTTGCTCTCAAAATATAAACAAGAGAGAGAGAGAGAGAGAGAGAGAAGAGAGAGAGAGAGAGAGAGAGAGAGAGAGAGAGAGAGAGAGAGAGAGAGAGAGAGAGAAGAGAGAAGAAAGAAGAGAAGAAGAGAGAGAGAGAGAGAGAGAGAGAGAGAGAGAGAGACAGAGAAGAGAGAGAGAGAGAGAGAGAGAGACAGAAAGAGAGAGAGATGGTGAATGTTTCTGTGTCTACATGAATGTATCTGCACATGTGTTTGTGTTTCTCATACGTGCCGATAGTTATCATTACCACACATGTTTCGTAAGTGGGAACAAGAAACAAGAGGTGCCACATTCTAATTATTCCAGCCCAGATGTTTGTTTGTATTGTGTAGCAGCGCTGAGGAGAATATGTTCGAGGTGGTTACAGAATGCAGGTTGAATGATTCTTGTCTGTCTGCACGTCCGTTGTCTGTTGTTCCTGTGTATGTATGTATGTATCGTCTCTCTCTCATCTCTCTCTCCTCTCTCTCTCTCTCTCTCTCTCTCTCTCTCTCTCTCTCTCCTCTCTCGTCTCTCCTCTCTCTCTCTCTCTCTCT